AAGAAGGAAGGAAATAACATTGAAAAGCAAGTTATGGAAAGAGATCGTGTTTTCTTTATCCAATATAAAAAAAAGGACTTAAAGGACCCTCATATATATATATATATATATATATATATATATATATATATATATATATATATATATATATATACACACACACACACACACACACACATATACATATACATATATATAGTCCTTTTCTTGTCCAGCCGGCCTGACGGGAACCGCCGTCCGGCCGAGGACATTTTGGGCACTTCCTGATCGAATTTTTTGATGACATTTTTTGAGAATGTTCTTCCTGAAGTCTAGTTTATCCATACCAAATTTCAGATCAAAATTCGATCGGGAAGGCATTCAAATAATTTGTTGAAGTTGACTGCGTCAAAGTATACCTATAAAAACCCAGTCAACTTCAAAAACTTATTTGAATGACTTCCCGATCGAATTTTGAGCTGAAATTTGGTATGTATAAACTAGACTTGATGAAAAACATGCTCAAAAAAATTCATCAAAAAATTCCACCGGGAAGTGCCCGAAATGCCCTCGGCCGGACGGAAGTTCTCGTCAGGCCGGCTGGACATGAAAAGTCCTCTATATATATAATACGTCGGGGGCTACCCCCAACCCCTACCCGTCCTCATAACCCCACTTGTCCCCATACTCATACCCCGTACCTTTACGCTTTACCCCTACGGCCCTACCCCCACCCCTGCCAGACCTTTGGCCCGTACCCTAACCCGTACTCTTACCCCTACTCTCTACTCTCTAGCATGTAAATATAAAGTAAATTAACATGTCCAAAATGAGTAGGCATAGATGGTTTAAATTAGTCCTGGACTCGGGCCGGGTCAGGTCCGGGCCGGGCCTAGGCCCGGGCGGGTCGCCAGTTCTGAATAGGTGGGCCTGGGACCGAGACCGGCCCAGGTAGCCATCGGGTCCAGTCTGGGTCCGGGCCAGTCATGGACCCGGGCCGGACCCGGCTATGCTTTTTTTTTGGGAAGGAAGGCCCGGGACTGGCCCGGGTAGCCACCGGATCCGGTCCAGGTCTGGGCCGGGCCGGGCCTCCGGTTCGGTCATATTTTTTTTTTTTTTTTGCTTTCCTAACCCCCCCTAGGGATGGACTCGGGCGGGCGGCCTGACTCGGAACCGGCTCGGCCCGGTTACTGTTGAGCCCGGCCCGGCCCGGCCCGGGAACCGATGGGCCCAGCGGTTCGGGTCGAACCGGCCCGGCCTTTGGGCGGTTCAGGCTCGGGCCTATGTTTTGGTGAACCGGCCCGGCCGGTTCGGGGCGGAATTTATTTATTTTTTTTTGAAATTTTTTAAAGTTTTGGGTTGGATTAGGTATTTTGGGCCATTTGAGGTGGTTTGGGATGGTTTGGGGTGGAGGGGGAGGGGTAGGGGGTTAAATAAGAGAAGAAGAAAAAAAAAATTAAAAAACCGGGCGGCCCGGAACCGGACCCGGAACCGCCCACCACCGGTTCGAGCTCGGGCCTCATTTTTCTGAACCGAGGCCCGGCCGGCTAACCCCAAAAAATGTCCCCCTCACCCCCCCAATCCCCCAAACCCCTCCTAACCATCAAGCCCAACCCGGCTAACCACAAAAAATGAAAAAAAAAATGAAAAAAAAATCAATTCGGCCTGGGCCCGAGCCGTAGGGATGGACTCGGTTCGGGCCGGGCCCGGTTCGGGCCGTGAACCGGCCGGGCCTCGGTTCACGGTTTGGGAGGCCCGGAACCGGCCCGGGTAAACCCGGGTCCGGTTCGGGCTGGGCCGGGCCGCCCGCCCGGTTCACGGGCCGGGCCGCCCGCCCGGTTCACGGGCCGGGCCCGGTTCGGGCCGGTCCTTTTAATTTTTTTTTATATTATATACTATATAATTATAATAAATTACTAACCTCGTATTCTTGTTTAGGGTCGATGGGATTATCATCGAACTCTTGAGTTGGAAAAAAACAATTATAATAGTAATCTATAAACTTGGCAACGCGGCAAGTCTATAACGAGGATCAAGAACAAATGCAATACCATATATATGCGGAACATGTGAATAATATTTTAAAAATTTTTGTTTCATGAAATCACAAAAATAACTAACGTAAGCGGCATCGGAAAATTCTAAAAATGCGCCGGCGAGATTAACAACTTCAACAAAAAATTCGTTTGCGGTAGGTTTATAAACATGACTAAAAGTTTGAGTTGCGTTATTAAAATATTCCAAAACATTAACAATTTTTTCACAAGTGTCGATGTCAGCCGGGTTTATAATATAGTTACAAGTTTGTCTTAAAAAAGCAGGAAAATGTTCTTTATATCTAATAAGTACTTGAATTAAGTTATAAGTACTATTCCAACAAATAGACAAATCTTTAGGAAAAGCACAATAATTGACACGTCTTTCCTTCAAATATTGCCGTCATTGCATTTTTAGTGGAGTGTTAGCCCAAATCAATTTAATTCCCCCCTTCACTACCTCCAAAGCATTTCCTAATGCCGCTAATCCATCTTGTACACACAAATTTAGAATATGACATGCACAACGTTGATGAAAAAACCTACCCATCAATGTAGAAGCACCACACAATTCACGCAATCTAGGTATAGCAGCAGTATTATTACTAGCATTATCAAAACCTACAGCAAACACCTTATCAAGCAAATTATACTCAATTAAAATACGCTCAATGAGAATATAAATATTATCAGCAGTATGACGATCATTGAATTCACGAAATGCAAGAACACGTTTATGCATATTCCAATCATCATCAATATAATGTGCAGTAAGACCCAAATAATATAAATGATGATAAGTATCCTCCCATATATCGCTACAAATACTAACACGTCCATTAAAGTTTGCGAAAAATGTTTGCAAATTTTCTTTTTCGAAGTTATATTGCCTTATAACTTCTTTTTTAATCGTTTTGCGACTATAATTTCTAAATTGAGGATTTAAAGTGCCTTGAGCATAATCTCTTAAAGCAAGACTTTCGGAAAAAATATAGGGTAAATTTTCTTCAACAATTAAATGAGACATACCAGTCAAATGTTTTTGATCATCATAGGAGAAATTACCAAAGGGTTGAGAATTTGCAAACCTCGATATTTGTGTTTGCTTCCCCTTGCCCTTGTCTATTTTCGCATACTCCACAAGATGGGCGGACTTAAGATGCCTTGTGAGACTCCCGTATCCGCCAGAAGTTCTCAAGCTATACTCTTTGCCGCAATGATTGCAACTTGCGTACCATTTTTCGGTATTTTGTCTTTCCTTTTTGTAAAATTGTTTTCAATAATAGGAGATTTAGATTTCTTACCAGTTTGGGTTGAACCGCCCTCGTCCTCCAAGTCTTGCTCATCATCCGGGGTGCCGTGAGTCCCGTCGCCCCCCGTGTCCTCCTCCGCATCGTCATCCTCGAGCTCCTCTTCATCAATGGTTGTCGGGATGGGTTGTTCTTGTGCAAAGCGTGGATCGTTTTGGGACAATAGGTTTTGTAGATGCTCGTCGCACATCATCATATCATCTCTCCGTTGGTAATCCGTTTCAAAATCATCTCGACTTTGAAAAGAAGACTCGGCCCGCGCTTTACCTTTGCCTTTGCGTGAAGTAGGACGAGTCGACGCAATCTCCCTCTTGCGGTTGCGTTGGAGATTACCCACATCTACAGAATGTCTACCACGTTCCATCTTTAAAATTGAACAAATATTAAATGATATCAAATATTTTATATGAGTACAATAGTAATAATAAAATGTGACTAAGAAAACTATTGCAAATTCGAACTAAAATATGAGTATAAAAATCAAACTACTTCTAATTAATACTTTAATGAGAAATGTATCAATTAACTAAATATTAACTAGTTTGACTAATATAAATATGAGAAATGTAAAGATTAACTAGTTTTTTTTACTTTAATGAGCAATGTACAAATTAACTAATATTAATATGAGAAATGTAACAATTAGGTAATTTAACTAATATTAATATGACAAATTTAACAATTAACTACTTTTTTTACTTTAGAGCCGTTTGGGAGCCTTCCCAACGACTAGGAGCCTATTCAAATAATAAAAAAAATTGGCCGTTGGAGGCCCGAACCGGGCCCGGCCGGGCCGGGCCGGTTCCCTAAAATGGAGGCCCGAGCCCGGACCGCTATACCACCAGGCCGGGTGGCCCGAACCGGTTAAGAACTGGGTGACCGGGCCGGTCCGGGCCCGCACAGTAGCGGGCCGGTCCGGTTCAAGGCCGGTTGGCCCGGCCCGAGTCCACCCCTACCGGGCCGGGCTGGTTCGCCAAATACAAGGCCTGAGCCCGGACCCGCCCCCCTCCCCCCGGGCCTAGGCCCGACCCAGACCCGAGAACTGGGCCAGTTCCGGGCCCGCACAGTGGCGGGCCGGGCCGGTCCCGGGTCGGGCGGCCCGAATCGGGTCCATGACTGGTCCGGGCCGGGCCTCGAGTAATTTTTTTTTTCCTTTTCCTAATTAACTTCCACCCCAACCCCCCAAACCACCCCAAATACCCCCACCAATCCCGAAAAGTTAAAAAAAAAATTGAAAAAAAAAATAAAATAAAAAGCCTGGAACTAGGCTTGAACCGGCCGGTTCGGCTTTTGGGTGACCCAAGCCCGCACCGGGAACCCCCCGGGCCGGGCTTACCCGGACCGGTCACTGGTCGGGCCACCGGTTCGGGCCGGTTCAGCACAGTACCGGTCCCGGGCCGGTTCCGGGTCGAGCCACCCGGCCCGAGTCTAGGACTAGTTTAAATTATTTTGTTTGTAATTTATTCATTTGACGTTGCTCCTTATACTTACAAAGCATGTATAAATGTATGATTGCTTCATTGCTTGGAATCCATCCCACATTGTGCAATATTAAAGCTTTAGATCACATTGAACTGATCGTTCTTTGGAATTGGAATCTTGGTGCACCGTGCATTTGCCCTCTATTGGACAAAAGCAGAAATGCTGGTACTCCATGTTCTTATGTGAATCTATCTCATACCAAGGTTAAATCTAGAAGTAAACCTCATGAATAGTTGTGCAAAACTGCATATGCCTTGTTGCGGCTACAAACATCAATCATAGCAAAAAAGACTATAAACTCGGTTTTTTCTGTTAAGCATAGAAGACTTAAACAAAAGATGAATATGGAACAATACTGTGAAGTGCACTAGCAAGAGCAGTGAGCACAATGCAACTTTAAATGAAAGATATTTCAACTTTTGGGGAGGCCTGTTGAAATTACAGAATTTTCTCAATACTTTTAGATTCCCCATCTTCTCAAGTGTGGGAAAGAACTAACTCAACTTTTGTGGAGGCGCGAGGAAATTCCAAAATCTTCTGCTTAAAACCAGAATTGAGGTCAGACACGATGAACTTCTCAAGTGTTGGAAAGGAGGCAAGCAGCCCCTTTACCAAGGGCATACAACTCTCACATTCATCAAATTCAAGACTCAAACTGTGAAGCAAGTTGCGTGTTTGAGCAACGTCATAGAGTTCCATTGATAGTTCTGAACCTGACTCTAAGCAATTTCTTAAACCTTCCAGAAACTTCAGAAAATCAACAAGAAAAATAATCCTCAAATCAGCCAAAAACTCAAATCACATATGTGTGCAAGATAATAACGACGGAAACATCTAGAATATTTGTGGATTCATAATTTAAGTAGGAAAAGAATAAAAATTACCTGCATGTTCATATCAAGTTTGACCAATTTTGGGCATAGTTTAAGCAAATGAATGAATGCAGAAGAAACATCATCATTTGGAGTAATGACATTTGATAACTTCAGCAATTCCACGTTTAGAGCTGGTGGCTGTAGACTTCTACAAAAATCTTCAACTAGACTCTTGAAAACAAACAAGAGAAATGCAATATCAGTTCCTAACAAGCACAACGATATGTGTGTGTGTGTAGAAGTCATCAAAAAAGGTCTATCTGGCTAACATACCTTGAGTGAAAGGGCATCTAAATCAAGAGTTCGAAGAGATCTCCAGTTCAAGTTAACTGATATGGAACCTGGGCCTTTAATTGCTAAAGCACCGAGCACTGGTGCAGCAATGTTACAATGTATCATGTTTTTACATCTAATAAATGATAGATTCTCCAGCATGGGAAGATCAATCTTCAGATCTTCTTGACGAGCATTAGGCTTACAGGCAACACTTACTAAACAAAGTGAGGTGATGTTTGGAATCACGCAAGGAGCAATTACTCGTTCAATCGAGACTCCAGAAATATACAACTTCTTTAGTGTTGGGCAAGAATATATGCAACTCGGCAGTATGTATTCATATTCCACCTCACGGTCAATACTAAGAAATATTTCTTCAACGCCTTTTTGAGTGACAAGAAGGAGCCATTGGTCAATGTGATAAGACCATGATTTAAGTGAAACCCCATGAAAGTAAGAAACAAAGACGAATTTGTGAATGTGCCCATTGTGCTGCATAAGAACTTTGTTGATTACTGAGAACTCAGGAAATAAACAAGTATCACTTTGACGGTATGAAGAATTCTTATGAATGTGTAAATTGAAGCGAAAATCAAAGTTGAGCTCTGTAAGATTCAACCATATATCTTTCCAAAAGGTAGATAAAACAGCCATTCTAGCAGCTTCCTGAATAGGCAATAGTCCCATGATCTTGTCAAGTATTTCAGCAGGGAGTTCACTGATTCTGTCTCTCCTCATCATTGTCATATCAGCCATAGTCCAGTCGCCTTGAGTAAATGAGAGTTAAAAAATACATCTATTCAGGAACAGAGTGAGGAATTCTCTTTACAAGGGGGGATTTTTTTCTTATTGAACAAACATAAGAATACAACAACAAAAACAACAAAATTACCCCAGTGCCTCAAGGGGGTCGGACGTACACAGTCTTACCCCTATACTAAAGAACAAAAAGATGATTTTCGGATGACCCATGATGAACAATATATATTCATATGATTATTCATATATATTCATATATTCGTATGATTATTCATAGTCATGTAGTCATGTACACTAAATGAACTATAAGCAACTACTCGCTCTATTCCGTTTAAAGGTTCCCACTTTCCGTATTTGAGTGTCTCATTTAAAGGTTCACGTTCCACTTTAGGAAATAATTTACTCTCTTTAATTACACTTTTACTCAAATTTCTCTTTCCTTCTCATTACATGTCAGGTCTCACAATTTCCCCTCCCCCAACTTATCTCCTTTAATTACTTTCACTTTATATGTTTACTTTTTCTAAATTTTTCCTTCCTCTCTTTTTTACCCAAATTATTTTATTTAATCACTTACCTAAAAAATCGTGTCATTTGCCTACAGAAACCTTCCAACTGGATAGAGAGAGTAGTAAAGTAAAAATAACTAGCATTCTTCATCGTATAAAGTATAAACACAATTTTATTTGACAATTTGTCATTAACTGAAATATAGAATGTTTTATCAATCTTAGGATAACTTTTGAAGACATTTTCTAGAAAAATAATGCAATCACATCTAATATGTTAAACTTAATTAAATTATCAGTTAACAACTAAGTGTGAAAAGGGAGAATTTGGCTTTGGACCCTATTTTATTGAGCAAATTAGACTTCACACCCCGTTTTTGAAAACATTTATATATGCACCTTAGCATTAACCAGCTCATTAGTTAGAGTTAAATCAACTTTAAAAAGACAACAATGCCCTAGAATAAATAAGGAATCCGGCCTGTAACAACAACCCTAAGCCAAAGCCAAAAGAGAAAAAATGCAGAAGTTACTAACGGCACGACCAAATTGCTTAGAAAAAGTATATAAAAAAAGTTGACAACTCTGGTGCCCTTTTAAAAATGGGGTACCGTACCTGCCATTCATTTGATTGGACCACATCACTTTATCATTTTTAATTTAGATTTAAATAATTCAACTGCAACATTCTATTAGTCTATGTGGGCAATGGTATGGTACCATAAAAAAATCCAAACATTGACCCGCACCAGCAAATGCAGAAGTGTACCTACACACCTCATTTAAATTTCTAAGAAAAACTAAAACTACAAAAAAAACTGCACTAAATGCAAGAATCTGAAACTACAAAAACATGCAAAAAAAAAAATGAACTGCTATGTTATATCTATTGAGCACTGGGGGGCATGAGCAAAAAACGTCACTACCCTGGCTCCCCAGCCCTGGCTCCGTCAATTAAAATATTAGAACTGAGCCAGTACCCTCAAATATATTTGCAAAAGCAATTGTTATCCTCACACATATAATGACGAATTCAACTTCAGAAGTACGCAAATTGACTGAGATCACAAAGAAATCTGGATCCAAACCCTATCGTCCACATAATTAAATTTAGACGCGTATATTGAAATCAGGCAAATCATTTGTAAAGAGAAGATACATATCTACTCACCTCTTACAGTTCACGATTCTGTGCACGATCGAGAGAGATCATAACCCAGGATATAGAAACAAGCACTATATAAATTCATCCGTAATTAATTAGGACAAATCATTTTATTATGAATCTAAATAAATAAGTCACTCCACGTTATGAAAACCTCATGTAATCTAATAATCCGTACGTAATCATAGAAGTAGGGTAAATCGTGGGCCTGGTGGCGGGCCTCGTAAGATGTAAGAGTTTTTTCCACTAAGTGCTCTGACTATTATGTTATTCACATTTTTAATATTTGATTTTGATTTTTTCCATTTTTAATCATTGACTATTGTGCTAGAGACATCATTGATATCCATCTTTGTAATTTTCTATATTTAGTCCTCCAACTTTCATAAAATTGACACTTTTAGTCCTTCAACTATTATAATAGTGACATTTTTAATCCCCCATTTATTGTGTCAAATTCATAATGGGAGGTCTAAAAGTGTCAATTTGACAATACTCATGGACTAAATGTGAGAAATCTTGAAGTCGGAGACTAAAAGTGTCTCTAACACAATAGTCGAGGATTAAAATGAAAAAATTAGAAATTAAGTACTAAAAGTGTCATTGACATAATAGTCGGGGGACCAAAAAAGGCAAAAAATCTAACTTGTAAACCAATAGGACATTCAAATATCCTCTATTCAATTTTAATTTGATATACCGTGTGTTTTTACTCGAATCAAATTTGTAGACCTATGTGCCTATGTGAGGTATACACTTTTTTGTGTACACATTTCGTACACTCGTCTGTCTCACGCATGTAGAGTTGTCTGTACACAGATAATTCTATAGAGTCCTACTGAGTTGTCTGTGTAGCGACAACTTTATGTGCGTGAGACAGACGAGTGTACGAAATGTGTATATCAAAAAGTGTACGCCAAGCATTTTTCAAATTTGCACTCACTCTTTGTTTAGTATTCAAACTCATTTTAATTTTTAGAATATGAGGCGGGACCCGATGCGGCGGTAGAGGAGGGGAGCTACATGTGCGACGAGGAACGGTACAGGTGTAATCAACCTCACAAATCCTAGGTAGCCTTGTCGCCTGATATTGTTGTGTTTTTATTATGTATGATTCTACTTTTAATTAGTTTCATTATTTGTTGTTTTGGAAATTGCGCACTTTTGATATAATTACTTTATTTTTCTAGATGTTGTAATTTGTTTAGATTAAGATTATTCTAAGCTCAAGATAGGGCAAGATCATCCAAAAGGTTATGATTAGACCCAAAAAGATAAGGGAAAGTGAAAAGGAGAAAGACAAAAACAAAATTGAAAAATTGTTCATATACTCATTCGGGTTAGGCAATAGTCATTTGGGTATTTAATTGATTCGGGTGTTAAAATCAAAATATGGAGAACAAACCAGCGTGTAAGTTTTTTTTTTTTTTGAAGATTTGGATTATACCTAAGCGGGCATGTTCTGAAAAGCCACTTTACAGGCTATTATTGAGGATACATCATCGGGTACCCTATATACCTAGTCCGTGATCAGACTCTGTCACCTCCAAAAACCTATAAATTTACCTCTTTTCCTTCACATTAAATTCATTAATTCACATATACTCTTTAGCTCAATTTAGATAATTGTTTTCTTTATATTTTCTAGCAGTCTCCAAATGAAAAGCTAAATTCTTCTATTTTGGCTTTGCTACATTGAAGCTTGTGTTTTGTAAGTTGTGAGTTATTTTGTTTAATCATTTTCTCTTGAATATTAATTGCATTCATATTTATATCTCATATTGATATATGAGGACTACGTAAAGGATCAACTAGTTTTGTTTTCATATATTAATTATTACTAGAATCAGTCGAAAGATGCACTTGTTATTCGTTTGGGGGTAGTAACCTTAGATTACTAATGCATGTATCTCATGGTTAATAATCTAAGGGGATTATTTATATTGATTTGTTGAGGTTTATTCCTTCAACCTTTGGACCCAACACGTAAGCCCAAAGATTTCGAGTGGAGTGAGTGTGTGGATATCTAGCCCAACAACTTTCAGATGGATCAGGAAACAAGAGAAATAGCAGGCAATGTAAGTAGGTATTATTAACTTCGTAATAATTCCCCTAAGTACAATCTACTCGCTAAAAAGGCCACGTCGGCCGTTCGTCTTACAAGGCACTTAGAAATGCTGCAAGTAAGAATACTGAAGCTAGTATGCTGAGAATAGAAAGTTGCCAACCCTTTACAATGAAATAAATGCTACTATTTATATCCGCCAATGGGGCAGTTAGTCCTGATGATGTGGAGGATTGTTAGTGGCTGTGGCCCAACCACCAAATCTCCAGCATTAAATGCGCTTCCCGCCAGAATCTGGGTTCCCCGCCTAATTAATGACCACGATCGTCTGGTAGAACCGGGGGCCGTTCGTCTGCGGCCCTTCCTGAGAACGTAACAAACTTTTGGGCCTGGGCCATCTACGGAGATGGGCCTCGGCTGACGACGTTCGTCACGGATGTGCTAACCGACCCTCGGCCAGGACCTTGTGCTGTTACCCCGGAGATAGACATTCGTCCTTATTCCTTCAGGCCAGGGCCATCCGTGGGCTGGGCGACGTACGTCGGTTTGGGGGTAATTGGGCCGGACCCCTGCCCGGGGCCATTTACCCAACACAAGTCCCCCACTTCTGATGTTCCAAGCGTGCGTGGGACATAAGGAAGTATGCCGTGCCTCCTGGAGGAGGCCCGTCTTCCGTACTCGCCCATGGGGAACTGGACGTACCTGATCAAAGGGCACCCCGAGTTGGGCGACCGCGGGTGAATCGAGGTGGCGGCTGGCGGCGAAACGGTGCGACTCCCGATGGGAAGTCATCATTACGCGTATCGCTTCCCCAGGTTGGATTCCCGCCAGGGTACGCTCCTCGCCACGTGTCGCTTCTTCATTCGTCCCCCCGGGGGTGCCTCCATTATAAATACCAGAAATCCCCTGATGTCTAGGGTTTCCGATTTCTGGCTTTTGCTTTCGAGTTCTCTTGCCGCTCTTCGGGTTTCCCATCACATCTTCCCAGGTCCATCTTCAAGTTTTTTAAGGTAATTATTCCTCTTCCTCTTCGTCCTTTCTTTTAGTGATGACTTCGATGGAGATCTCTTCGAGTTCGAGTTCTGGTTCTTCGGGCTCCGACTCTGATTCTTCCTCCAATTCTGGCTCCCGTTCCTCCGGGAAAACCAGCATTTCCGGCAACCCAGGTTCGGCGTCCACCGTAGGGACTATCCACGTCGACAGTGAGCAAGGCGCCGACATTTCCAAAGGTGCCATTGAGGCAGTGCCCCTGAATGAACGTGCGGCCGGGTATGATTCCGCGGATGAGGCTCAATCTGGCTCTGATCTGGAGGTGCACGATTTGGGTATCCCCATGGACGTGCAGAGGCATATCTGCAAGATTAAGAGTGTTTTAGAGCACAGGCAATCCCTCTCTAGCGTCGCCATGAACAAGATTGCTTCCTTCTTCCCCCATCCGTTCGTCTTTAGCCATAGCGGGGCTGAACATGCCATGCGGCGACGGCCGGGGATGATCATCCTGCATGTGGACTCCGTAGAGGCCGGTCTGCGGTTTCCCCTCCACCCTTTTTACGTGGAGTTCTTCAACTGCTACCAGGCGGTCCCGGCGCAGTTCATGCCCAACTCTTATAGGTTTATCTCCGCATTCCTCGTGCGCTGCTCATCCGCGGAAGCCGATATATCCCTGGATCTGTTTCACTACTTTTACCGGGTCACCCCGCAGAATTCCGACGGTTATCTGAGTGTGGCCGCTCGTCCGAAGAGGAAGCTGTTCGAGCACTATCCTTCCTCCATCCATGATTGGAAAAATAGGCTCTTCTTCCTTAGATATGATGGTCCTCCACTCCCAATCCGCTGGAACGGTTACCCCCCGAAGATTGAGTCGCCGGTGCTGACGGACGAGCTGGAGGCGGAAGTTAACAAAGTCCTGGAAGGCGGCATTCGCCCCATAGGAGAATACCTGACCCCCGAGGCACTCTCTGAAGCAGGCATAGGTACCGCCCGTGATCTTGGATTCCTTCCCCCCTTGGACGCTCGTCTCGGGGCACGGGCGGTCCTGTCCTCTGAGGTGGGTGTTCCTCCCTATCCCTGTTCGTCTTTTCACATTCTTGTATTTCTCTCTTGCAGGTCTTCCCCTTACCGCCGACCAAATGGACAACGCCGAGTGCCTGAGGAACAGGAAGGCGAAGATGGCTGCGGCCAAAGCGGCCAGGGAGGCCGCCGCCCATGGTGCCGGATCGTCTGCCTCTGATGCCGCCCGTCGGACTGCAGATGGTGAGCAGCATCTGATTGCCACCCTCCTGAACGAGGGGGCCATACCCCATCACGCTGAATCTGCTCTCCCCCCGCCGGTCGTCGCAACGAAGGTGGTTCCCAAGAAGGGGGGCGAGAGGGCCCCAGAGAAGAAGCCGAAGAGGGGGCGAGACTGCTCTTCCTCCGGCCCCGTTGTTGATGATGCCATCGGTCTCTCCCTGAACCGGCCGGCGGAGGAGCTTTGGAGGGAGCTTGGGGCCAAGGCCGGCCTCGAACTGGCCCCCCGATCGTCTTCTGAAGCGACCAGCGCCGCTCTGGCAGCGGCCATCCAGGTATTGTCGCGATTCGACTCATCTTGTCTCCCTGACGCCCGTCGTTATGTCATCTAACTTCTGTTCATCCCATTCCTTACAGTCAGGGCTGTTGGTGCTACAAGCCGAGGCTGCCAGGGAGGCCGCCCTGCAGGAGGCGAGGAGTAAGGCTGATGCCGCCATATTGAAGGCTCGGGAGGTCGCCCGTCGGGCAGAAGAAGAGGCTGCCTCAGCCAGGGAGGAGCTTCGGTCTCTTCAGGCTGAAACTGGCGCCCAACTGGCCTGTCTGGAGAAGGCCGGCTTCAAGCTTATGCCGGTTCTTCCGGCCCCCAAGGGTGCTATCCCGGAATGGTGCGTTGATACCTCCGGCTACCGGAATACTGGCGAGTTCATGGACTCGGCCAAGGATTTCTGCGCTGGGGCTTTTGGAGACGTGTTCTCTCATGCCCTGGAGAAGGTCCCGGCGAAGGATCGTCTGAAATACGGCGTGCGGCTAATGGGAAGCTCCCCCTTAACGCGCCAATTCCTTTATGATTCTGCTGATAGCGCCTTCGCCGGTGGCTATAACGAAGGGGTCAAAGCTTTTCTCCCCATCTTTGAGAAGCTTCTGGGCCCTGACGTCAACCC